ACTTTAAAGTGTTTCAATCCTACATTTATTGTGAAGATTAATTAATTAAGTTCCAATTTAAATTAAACTCCAATGAACTATTTCCAATAGTCCACATCTCACACAGTGCCTTATAGACACACATATTCCCATATAAATATAAAATAATAGTACTAAAACCGAGGTCAGTAATTACATCTACAGAGAGAGGTTTTTTTTTTGGGGGGGGGGCGGGGTTTCAAGACAGGGTTTCTTTGTGAAGCTTTGTGCCTTTCCTAGAGTTTTAATTCTAAAGAAAGAAAGAATCTGGTAGGCAATACCCTCTCTGGAGGTACACTTAAATACTTCAGAATATAAGTCATATCCAGTGGCATCATGTGTTGAAGGAACCAAGCTAAAACTACTGACATCCAAGTTTAGTTTGGGTATGTGATTTCAACAAATATCTCGTTTTTAATCAGAGCCTTCTCTTACTACCTAGTAGCTCATGGCTCCTTAGACACCCTCATCAGCACTGAGAATAGTTCCCACTTATTGTGCAAAGTGCTGCCAAAATGAAGACAAGGCCTTCTTTACTGCAACTGTTCTTTTTATGCTCCTCAGAGGTGGGGATTATTCTCTCAGTTTGCAAATTAGAAAATGAGGCTGGGAATGATCTAGTGACCTATCTTCAATTCTAGTCATGAGAACTAGGCTGTAAGTGTGACTATAAACCATGTTCTATATACTATACCAGCTGAAGGAATTTATCATAACTCCATGGACATTTGTTTCAATCTAAAATTATTGTCCACATCTGTTTTTTTTTAATTTTAGTTACAATCAATATGCCTCAGAAGCAGAGGAAGACCAATATTCAAGGTTTAAGAATGATCCTTAGACATCCTTGCAGCTAGAGTTTTCCTGCCTTGCCCACAGTCAGGACAAATTTTTGTCACCTGCCAGTCCCACAGCCGCTCAGACCCAACCAAGTAAACACAGAGACTTATATTGCTTACAAACTGTATGGCTGTGGCAGGCTTCTTGCTAACTGTTCTTATAGCTTAAATTAATCCATTTCCATAGATCTATACCTTGCCAAGTGGCTCGTGGCTTACTGGCGTCTTCACACACTGCTTGTCATGGCGGTGGCTGGCAGTGACTCCTTCTGCCTTCCTGTTCTTTCTTTTCTCCTCTGTTAGTCCCGCCTATACTTCCTGCCTAGCCACTGGCCAATCAGTATTTTATTTATTGACCAATCAGAGCAATTTGACATACAGACCATCCCACAGCACATCCTAGTAAAAATAATCTCTCCAGAGGTGACAAGCCTTGGACAATGACTGATTTTACCATACTAGAATAGCATGGAAAACCATCTGTGAATCTTTGATTTAAAAGTCCTGATATCAGCTGGCTGGAGGTGGTACACACCTTTAATCCCAGCACTTGGGAGGTAGAGGCAGGTGGATCTCTGAGTTCAAGGACAGCTTGGTCTACAGAGTAAGATCCAGGACAGGCAGGGGCTACACAACACAGAGAAACCCTGTCTCAAAAAACCAAAAACAAAAGGAAATAAAAGATAGTGTTTATTCTTTAATCAAAGGGGCTAGTAAATAAATTTCCATGAAAATAGTTAGACAGACCTCTCTGCCTCTCTGAAGGTGATTTATATAGCTAAAATAGATAAGCTGATAATTTTTTAGACAAAAATTCTAATTTTGTTTAGACAAAATTCAATTGTCAGATAGTTAAATGGGCCCCAAAGTAACCTGAAACATGATTTCCAAAATAATCTTAGTCTATAATAAAAGGCTCACAGTGGATTTAAGGATGAGATTTTAGTCTGGTGACTAAGTTGGAGTTAATATGGCACTAACAGCAGAACTTAGAAAAGAGGTAGCCTCTGTCAGAGAGCCAGTTCACATCAGCATTACTGAAATCAATGCCTCTGGAAAAATGGTGACTGCAGTGACATTAGCAGCAACAGCATAGACCATGTTAAAGATGCAACACCCCACCCCAGACCTGCTCAATCATAAATCCTAGAGTTTGGGGCCAGTATGCCACATCCCACTAAATGCTCTAGGTGGGTCTCTTGCAAATTTGAGAGCCAATGATTTCTTGGGGATGCGGGATGTAAAACATAGCAATGCCAGGCTCCATCCTGGGAATATCAGGTATAATGAATCAGGGTGACATCAGGCCCCTGCCCCGCAAGAAGTTGCTTAGGAGACGCTATTGTCTCAGCCAGGGTTGAGACAAACTGACCTGTTCAAACAATGTTCTAAGGAGTACACACACACACACACACACACACACACACACACACACACACACAGTATCATCCCTGGCAAACAAGATAAACACATAAAAACAATCTGGCTGAACTGAACACATTAATGCTTTTCCTCTCCAAGTAACTCTGACCTCCAGAGAGTTCAATTACTGGGTCCATTCCATCCTGACAAATGGAGCTGTGCTAGCTAACATCATAATAACAAGGAAATCATAAATAGCTTCCAGGATGTGCTTCACTGATCCAACTGTCTTAGAAAACATCACCAGATACATAAAGACCTAAGAAAATAATAGATGCTCAATTTTCAACCAGGCAAGCCAAATATATGCAAGGGCCTTGTGGCTCACAGGTCTCCACCATCCCTGCCAGCATGCCAGGCAATTATCCAACAATACACTTACATATTATAACATGTGTGTAAGAAAATCACATGGTTCCTAAAATTGCCAGTTTATAAAATCCAATTGTCAGCATCAGCCTGTGGTGATATTTTATTTGTACTGAAATGTTATTTTAATTTTATGTTAATAAATAAAGTTGCCCTGGGGTCAGAGCTATTAGAGCCATAGTAAGAGCGTGGTGGTTAGAAGAGCTAGGTAGATTTCTGTGTGTTCAGGGATACAGCCAGTATTGGAGACATACGCCTTTAAGACCTGGAGGGCGGTACTTACAGGCAGTGATGAGGCAGTCA